TTATAAGTGAAATAATCTGTCTGTAAACAATTGTTGGAAAAATTACTTGTGTCATGCACAAAGTAGATGTCCTAACCGACTTGCCAAAACTATAGTTTATTAACAAGAAATGTGTGGAGTAGTTGAAAAACGAGTTTTAATGACTCCAACCTAAGTGTATTTAAATTCCGACTTCAACTGTATATGTGCTGTCAAAACCTGGGTAGAGCCCCTCCCCATGCCTCACTTTAAAATGCACATTTAACTGTTGCTCATTATTATTCAGAAACATGAACACTTGCCTCCGGAACGACGGCATCTGCCTGAAAACCTGCTGACAGTACACGAAAACAACTAGCAAACTTACCAAAACAACTCCTTCCTGATTTGAGCATCCATAATAAAAGGAGGCAAATTTGCAACTACCCTAGTCGAAGGGGTAGAAAGAGGAGAAATTGGCACCAACACACCCCTTTCAAATATACCACTAGAAATGAGCCTACCCACCAAATTTGCTCTTTTCATGAACACAACCACAGCTTTGTTCATTCTGGAAGCGGAATGTATAAATTCAGCTCCTACCTGTTCACCGACCGCGAGCAGGACCTCCTCCACCTTAATTCTATTATCGGGAACACGCCTGAATCCATGCCGTAACGACAGCGTCTCGTCCGCGCTAGGCTGCGAAGCCATTACTCACACCACACCGTTCAAAACCCCAGGAAACTAAACCTCTATCCTCTTCCTCCCAAACAAAAAAAGAAATCGTTAATGTGGGTAACACTAAAACAAACAGTGCATTAACCCTCCACCATGGGTACAAACAGTGCATTAACCCTTCACCATGGGTGGAGAGAGAGAGAGAGAGAGAGAGAGAGGAGAGAGAGAGAGAGAGAGAGAGAGAGAGAGAGAGAGAGAGAGAGAGAGAGTAGAGAGAGAGCGATAGATGAGAGAGAGAGATGAGAGAGCGAGAGAGAGAGAGAGAGAGAGAGAGAGAGAGAGAGAGAGAGAGAGATGCATATTTTTGTGCTCAGAGAAGAGCAGATAGAGGCTGATTATTTGCATAAACACAGAGAGGCCAGGGGACAATAAGCTCTTGATTATTTTAAGCTAACATGTGTATTTCGTTTGGTAGCCTCAGGATATTTTCCCTTGAAATGTCAGAGATTTAGAGCATATTGGTCCTACTATTTGGATTCACCCCTATAGGAATTCAATTGGGACTGTACTCTTGCACTTACCCCTCTGTGGTAGCCCTTAAGAAATAATATAATTACAGAGATCAAATCAAATTGTATTTGTCACATGCGCCGAATACAACAGGTATTAAATGCATAGTTACAGCCCGTAACCAACAATGCAGTTCAAGAAACAGAGTTAAGAAAATATTTACTAAATAAACTAAAGTAAAAAAATTAAATAAAAAAATAACACAATAAAATAACAATAATGAGGCTATATACAGGGGGTACTGGTACCGAGTCAATGTGCAGGGGTACAGGTTAGTCGAGGTCATTTGTACATGTAGGTAGGGGTAAAGTGACTATGTATAGATAATAAACAGCGAGTAGCAGCAGAGTAAAAACAAAGGGAGGGGAGTGTCAATGTAAATAGTCCAGGTGGCCATTTGATTAATTGTTCAGCAGTCTAATGGCTTGGGGGTAGAAGCTGTTAAGGAGATTTTTGGTCCTAGACTTGGCGCTCCGGTACCGCTTGCTGTGCGGTAGCAGAGAGAACAGTATATGACTTGGGTGACTGGAGTCTTTTACAATTTTTTGGGCCTTCCTCTGACGCCGCCTAGTGTATAGGTCCTGGATGGCAGGAAGCTTGGCCCCGGTGATGTACTGGGCCGTACACACTACCCTCTGTAGCACCTTACAGTCAGATGCCATACCAGGCGGTGATGGAGATGTATTGCGTATACTGTGAGACATGCTATACACAAGTGCCCTGGTTTAAGTGAAACAGCATCCTATTAAATATGCATTTATCTCGCTCATATATTTCCATCTGTGGCTTATCTCTCTATATGCCACAATGTTTCTCTACGAGGACTAAACCCTGCAGAAATACACAACAGAGTTCTGACTGAATAATGTTATAGGTATACATTTGACATTTTAGTCATTTTAGTCATTTAGCAGACGCTCTTGTCCAGAGTGACTTACAGTAGTGAGTGCATACATTTTCAATATGGTTCCCCATGGGAATCGAACCCACAAACCTGGCATTGCAAGCACCATTCTCTACCAACTGAGCTACAAGGTACGATAGAACTTCAATGGCCAGAGTTTGGGTGGCAATGAAGGAAACTTTACTACAGTAAATGTTTTGAAGTCAACTAATGAAACACTAGATGTTTGAAAAGGAAAGAAGTTAAAAGAGGAAGGTACAGCGGCACAGTGTTTGGCTTCAATGAGCTGTGGAGGAAATAATGAACGTTAGGTCTGAGATAGGAACCAGATGAAGAGGAACAGAAATAGGTTAGCTTTCATGGTAGCGTGGTCTCCACTGGGGATGTGGTGGTGTTGCTCATTAAAAGCTACAGTACTGGAGGAGGAGAGGAAGAGAGGAGGAGAGAAAGGAGGAGAGAAGATAGAGGAGGATAGGAGGGGAGTAGATAGAGGAGAGAGGAGGGCAGGAGGGGAGGAGGGGAGAGGGGGGGAGGAGGGGAGGAGAGGAGGAGAGGAGAGAGGAGGGGAGGAGAGGGGGAGGAGGGGAGGGTGGAGAGGGGGAGAGGAGGGGGGAGGGGAGAGGGGAGAGGGGGGGAGGAGGGGAGAGGAAGGGAGAGGGGGGGGGGGGAGGAGGGGAGGGGGGAGGGGAGGGAGGGAGGGGGGGGGAGGAGGGGAGGAGGAAAGGGGGGAGAAAGGGGGGGGGGGGAGGGGGGAGAGGGAGGAGAGGAGGAGGGAGGGGGAGGAGGGGGAGGAAGGGGGGAAGGGGGGGGGGAGAGGGAGGAGAGGGGGAAAAGGGGGGGTTGGGGAGGGGGGGGGGAGGAGAGGGGGGAGGAAGGGGGGAGAGAGGGAGGGGAGGGGAGGGGAGAGGGGGGAAGGGGGGAGGGGGAAGGGGGATAGGAGGGGGGAGGAGAGGAGGGGGGAGAAGGGGGAGGAGGGGGGGAAAAGGGATTTGAAGGGGGGAGAGGGATGTAGGGGGGAGGAGAAGGAAGGAAAGGGGAAAGGGGAGTTTTGGGGGGGGCATAAAACCAAATTCCCCCCTTAAATTAGGCCCCCCTTCCCTTTTTTTATCTCATTCCGGAGCCCAGGAGAAGGGTTATGTTCTCACTGTTCTTGGAGTGGTGTCATTCAGCCCTACTTCCCCCCTCTCCTCCAACTATAGACTGCCCCACTCCTAATGAGCTACATGACTCAGGGCTGTAGGGGGGTCAGTGCTGATGATCTTATCTGATGCATCATCCACCCAACATACCAAACACATTGGGATGATTTCACTAATAGGCACCCTTGCTAGTTATCTGTCCAGCAGGGTATTCCCCTATGTGTCTTCCGTAAGATAGCGCAACTATCCTTTCTACTGTTATTATAAACCCATAATACAGTGTTATTCAGGTATTCTAAGAAACCCCCATCCAGGTACTACAGTCTGTTCTCTCAGCCCTTCCTTCTGGACTATCCATTCTGAGGCTCTGCCTGTGTCTTTCACTCAGCGCTGAGGCACCCAATAAAAACAGAACCAGCTCAAGTCTGCTCGGCTCCACAGTTATATGCTGGGAGGAAGCGCCCAAACCAGGCGGTATAAATACCCAGCTCCACATACTAAATATAGTGGTAGTTCTTTTGAAGACAGGCCCAGTGTTTGTCAGCGAGATATGGGTCTGCTGTGTGGGTCCTGTGTAGCTCCTAGCCAACGCTTTCTTTGTATTTATCATATGTTGACTGGAATATCAGTGTCAGCCGTCCTTCCCTCCATGAACAGAGGCTCATTTACAGTATTGATGCCTGCTCCGGTGAGGAGGGACTCGGGGTGATTGAGCAATCATGCCAGCTTGCCATTTATTGGGAAAAGTCGAGCATCGCCCAGAGGAACGATTAGGAAACACAATTACTTTCAGACTATACTTCCTGCCTTGGGCTTACTGTTGTTATTTTATTACTCAGTCTTTATCAGACTATCCTCCTCCCAGTCCTAATATCTCCTCTCTCCTTTTCTGCTGCAACATTGTTGCAATCCAATCATCTTTGACGGGAACATTTCTGCCCGGGAACAGCTAAATTCTTATAGGGAAAATGTACTGCTAAAGCAATATGTTGTATTTTCTCTGTCTCTGACCTCAGCCTTAATGGATCATAGAGATGAATTTCCCAAAATATCCCTGAGTGTTGATGGACAGTCTTTTTTGATGACGTTGAGCTAATTTGTAGCCATGTCCTAGTCTGGACAGTCTATTGGATTACATGGTGTTGCATGGCGCAAGATGCAGGGTTCCCTGAAATGGAGTTTTTTTGTGTCTCTGAGCAATGTGATTACAGGCCTTTGGCAGTGAGGGTTAACCAACAGATGACAGATACAAATGTACACAAGAGGCCTCCAAGGATGGTTTTCACTAGCCTATATGTGTGGCTGGCGATGTCAACTGGGGAGTATTTTCTGGATTGAGATGTGAGGTGTCCGTTGGCAGACTGATAGTGGAGTCTGCCACAAATGTGGATTCCTAGAAAGGACTCCAAACTCTCGGTTTATCTCCAAGTCCTCTCAGACCTCAGACACACAAGCAATGGTCATAGCACAAATACACAAACTCACACATGCAATGGTCATAGATATATTTTATCTTCATTTCAAGGACAGTTTGGAAATGAACATAGGCACAGCAGCAACAACAGCCTGCAGCCTTTTCCTCTATATGACAAGTGATCTGAGGCCTGCAGACCACACTGAGGACAGCTGAGAAAGATAGCAGTGGGCTTTAGATGTCAAAGATCACCTGAGACAAAGAGAGCCCCCCACTGTCACCAAATCACATAAACCCCAATCTAGACGTAGGCCTGGCTGGCAGATTTATAAAGATGGATGGGGCAGAGCAGAGGAGAATCCAGTCTCAGAGGGGTGTGAGGGGATATGGAGCTCTCTCTTTCTCTCTCTGGCGTAATCAAATCAATGAAAGTTTAATAGACTTTCAGTGAATTCCATTATGGCAACACAGACGCCACGGACCCATTCATTATGATGATGTTCTGAAGTGAGATATTTCATTGTGGACCCACACCACTAGTGAGATGGGGACACTGAGGGATGGCTGGAGGACCGGGGTCTACCATCTGCTTCTTTACTGCTGCTCTCTCCCTGTTTCTATGGAGATTTGAGGCCTTTCAGCAAATCAATCAATGGAAGCGTGCTTTTCATTAGTTGGCCTTGAGGTTCTGTATGAGTCTGCTGACAGGCATGGCTCATTGAAGCCGTTTGTTCGAGAATGTGGGTGACTTTTAGAAGGAGATGTCGAAATTACCTGTTTCGAAATGAAGGAATGTTCAGCTGGATATGTTCAATCGATTTCTGTTGGCAATATCTTTGTTAGACTGACAGTGAATACTTCACATAGCCACCCATGTTATATGGTTTTATAGATTTTTCTAGTAATTGAATTCTTCATTTGTCTGAGTCAATCTCTCTAACTCGCTCCATCTCTGCTGTCCATAGGTGGTAAGGGGGGTAAGAAGAAGAAGGTCAAGGCTGGCGCCAAACCCACCAAGGTTAACGGCTCCAACTGGGCCAACGTGCCCCTACCTCCTCCCCCTGTACACCCTCTTCCTGGCACCGAGAGGGACCACTACCCCAACGAGCACTATGAAGGAGGAGGGTATGTGCCACACCCACCATAGCATACACGCTATACATCCACGTAGATGCAAAACAGTGCACACTCTGCCCATACAGTCCAACTAGATTATTCCACACTGATTAGAACAATTGTATTTATCTATCATTGTCTGACCCTCCATACAGGCTTTGCCGAAAGTGAGACAGTTACTCCTAATAGGGGATTAGGGGACAACATTAGCCTATACAAGTATATACAGGACACTGTTGAGTTCAAGTAGAACCCAACCAACTGCTGTGTGTTATTATAGGACATTGTCGTGCTCCTGGCTAGCTGTTCTTCTCTGTGGCTAATAACACTAGTACATCTGGAGAGAAGTAGAGGGATCAGTATGTTACTGTCTCCCCAGGCAGGCAGGATGGACACACAGATGGTTTCACATCAATCTATCTGCTCCTCCCATTTTTCTAGCTGAGGGAGAAACTTCATGAGTGCAGAAAACATTGTTTGAGCACTGCAGTCTCCTGCGGCAAGCAGGATGGACACACAGGTGGTTTCAGATCAATCTATTCTGCTGATTCTCTTTCTGAGGGAAATAATTCAGGACTGCATTGTTTCAAGCTGTGAGAGAGGGAAGGACAGAAAAAGAGAGAAAAAGAGAGCGATTCCACAGTGAGCTCTCTCCACTGACTGAGTCTGAGGGAAATGTTTTACTCACTAAATTACCCTCACGCTACTGTTATTGTTAGTAGACAGCCAGGCAGTCAGTGCCTTCATGTAAAGTCTGCCTTTAGTCAGGGGAGGTGTTAGCTAAAAATGTTAATTGTATCCCAAAATAGATACACTCACACATAGTATCTCCTTTAACTGCGTGTCTCCCTAGTTGAGGTGTGCTGTCCGCTAACCCTCATCTCCAGTCTAGGAGACTCATCTGGTTTAATAGGCTATCTGGCAAATGAGGAGTCCTCTGCACTGTAAATCTGAGCCTCTTAATGGCCACAGATTTAAACAGTTATGTCCTATGGAGTGTGCACTGACAAATTCCTTTAATTAACATTTTCTTTACGACTAGTGTTATTTTAGCATGTATAAGCGGCGTTATGGGAAATGAAAGCCTCACTCCCTCCACTGCTCCTCTGCTCGGATGTACAAAGTCCTTTAGAAAGTTTGCCAAGGTCACACTAGTCTGGCACGTGACCAGAAGAAAAAAAGTTGAGTTACTTAGAGCACCTCTCTTACTCCTCCTCCCTCTATCTCTCTGTGTGGCCACCCCAGGTATGAGAGTGATGGCTGGGGTCCTCCCATGCCCATGCAGACCTACCTCCACCAGGGAATGGAGGATGAGCTAGAAGAGGAGGAAGAGAGGGTCCCCACCCCACCCATGCGTGGTGTGGCCTCGTCCCCAGCAGCGGTGTCCTTCGGCCAGCAGTCCACGGCCACCCTCACCCCCTCTCCCCGGGAGGAGCTGCAGCCCATGATCCAGGCCCACCTGGACGAGATCACCCGTGCCTACCAACTGGACATGGCCAAACAGACATGGTACGTACGCCCACTGGAGGGGAATACTACAGAAAACAGTAAAAGGTTCAAATGGGGTGACATGAGAATGCCTACTATGGATATTATGCTGGATGTGTTTTTCTTTCAGTATCTGTTTATTCCTCCTTTCCATGTTTTATTTAGGTGTTATGTTAGCTGTACAGTCACGGGCATTGCGCAAAACAGAAACACTCATTAATCATGTTATTTTAATGGTCCAGTGTTACCACTTACACGACTACCCCTTCTGCTCACTGTAAGAAGCACAATGTGGAAATCACTTGTTTAGGCCCCATCCCACACCCATGCTGCTACACATTCCGTTGTTGTGGTGCTCATGCACGGCAGATGAAGCCCATGTTTCATCCTGTCGGAAGAGAGGGAGAGAACGAAGGAGGAAGGGAAGGAAAGATGGAGAGAATGAAGGATGAAGAGGGAAAGAGGGAGAGAATGAAGGAGGAAGGTAGGGAAAGATAGAGAGAACAAAGGAGGAAGGTAGGGAAAGAGGAAAAGAACGAAGGAGGAAGGAGGAAAAGAGGGAGAGAACGAAGGAGGAAGGGAGGGAAAGAGGGAGAGAACGAAGGAGGAAAGGAGGGAAAGAGGGAGAGAACGAAGGAGGAAGGGAGGGAAAGAGGGAGAGGACGAAGGAGGAAGGGAGGGAAAGAGGGAATGAGGGAGAGAACGAAGGAGGAAGGGAGGGAAAGAGGGAGAGAACAAAGGAGGAAGGGAGGGAAAGATGGAGAGAATGAAGGAGGAAGGAAGGGAAAGATGGATAGAATGAAGGAGGAAGAGAGGGAAAGAGGGAGAGAATGAAGGAGGAAGAGAGGGAAAGACGGAGAGAATGAAGGAGGAAGAGAGGGACAAAGGGAGAGAACGAAGGAGGAAGGGAGGGAAAGAGGGAGAGAGCGAAGGAGGAAGGGAGGGAAAGAGGGAGAGAACGAAGGAGGAAGAGAGGGAAAGAGGGAAAGAGTGAGAGAATGAAGAAGGAAGGGAGAGAATGAAAGAGGAAGGGAGGGAAAGATGGATGAAGAAAAATGAAGGGGAAGAGAGGGAAGGGAGGCAGCGGAGGAAGGAGGGAAGAGGGAGAGAATGAAGGAGGAAGGGAGGGAAAGAGGGAGAGAATGAAGGAGGAAGGGAGGGAAAGAGGGAGAGAATGAAGGAGGAAGAGAGGGAAAGAGGGGAAAGGGGAAGGAGGAGGAGAAGGAAAAAGGGAGGGAAGGGGGAAAAGAAGAAGGGAAGGAGGAAAGAGGGAAGAGAGAACGAAAAAGGGAGGAGAAGGAGGAAGGAGGAAGAGGGAAAGAGGAGAGAAGAAAGGAAAGGGAAAGGGGGGAAAGAGGGGGGGAGAATGAAGGAGGAAGGAGGAAGAGGAAAGAGGGAAGGAGGAAGGAGGAAAGAGGGAAAGAGGGAAAAAGGGGAGAAAAAGGGGAAGGGAGGGAAAGAGGGAGAAAGGGGGGAAGAAGGAGGAAAGGGGGGAAAGATGAGAAAGAGGGAAAGGAGAGGGAAAGGGGGAAGGCGAGGGGAAAGAGGGAGGAGGAAGAGGGAAAGAGGGAAAAAAGGGAGGAGGAAAGAAGGGAAGAAGAAGGGGGGAAAGAGGGAAAAAGGGAGGAAGGAGGAAGGGGGGGAGAAGAAAGAGGAAGGGAAGGGAGGGGAAGAGGAAGAAGGGAAGGAGGAAAGAGGGAGGAAGAGGGAAAGAGGAGAAAGAAGGGGGGGAAGGGAGGGAAAGAGGGAAAGGGAAGAAGGAGGAAGAGGGGAGGAGAGAAAAAGGAGAAAAAAGAGGAGGGAGGGGAAGAGGGAGAGAATGAAGGGAAGGGAAGAGAGGGAAAAAGAGGGGGGAAAAAGGGGGAAAGAAGGGGGAGAAGAAGAGGAAGGGAGGGAAAGAGGGAGGAGACGAAGGAGGGAGAAGGGAAAAGGGAGAAGGAAAAGAGGAAGAAGAGGAGGGAAAGAGGAAGGGAACGAAGGAGGAAAAGAGGGAAAGGGGAAAAGAAGGAGGGAAAGGGGGAAAAGGGAGAGAATGAAGGGGAAGGGAGGGAAAGAGGGAAGAGAAGAAGGAGGAAGGAGGGAAAGGGGGGAAAAAGGGGGGAAGAAGAGAGGAAGGGAGGGAAAGAGGAGGAAAGAAAGAGGAGGAGGGAAGAAGGAAGAAGGAAGGAAGGAAGGGGGGGAAAGAGGGAGGGAAGAAAGGAAGGAAGGGAGGGAAAGAGGGAGAGAGAAGAGGAGGAAAAAAAAAAAAAAAAAAAAAAAAAAAAAAAAAAAAAAAAAAAAAAATTTTTAAAAAAATAAAAAGGGGGAAGGGAAAAGGGGAAAAAAAAGGGGAAGGAAAGGGGGGAGGGAAAATAGGGGAAAAAAAAAAAGGGGGGGGTTTTTTTGGGTTTGGGGAAAAATTTGGGGGGTTTTTTTTTTTTTGGGGGGGGGGGGGGGGGGGGGGGTTTTTTTTTGGGGGGGGGGGGAAAAAAAAGGGAAGAAGGAAAGAGGAGAGATGAAAAAAAGGAGGAAGAGGAGAGAACGAGGGGGGAGAAGAGGAAAGGAGAGTTTAAGGAAAAATTTAGGGAAAAGGGAAAAGAGGACGAAAGAGAAAGAGAATGCAAGGAGGGATAGGGGAAGTGAGGGAAAGAGGGAAAAATGGAGAGAACGAAGGAGGAAGGGAGGGAAAGATGGAGTGAACGAAGGAGGAAGAGAGGGAAATGATGGAAAGATGGAGAGAACGAAGGAGAAAGATAGGGAAAGAGGGAGAGAACAAAGGAGGAAGGGAGGGAAAGAGGGAGACAATGAAGGACGAAGGGAGGGAAATATGGAGAGAATGAAGGAGGAAGGGAGGGAAAGAGGGAGAGAATGAAGGAGGAAGGGAGGGAAAGAGGGAGAGAACGAAGGAGGAAGGTAGGGAAAGATGGAGAGAACGAAGGAGGAAGGTAGGGAAAGAGGGAGAGACTGGCATCTATTCATTACAGTAGAGGGAATAGGGAAGACTTGTCAGGAAAGAGCCTTCGTGTTAGCCGGTAATGACTATGTTGGGTTTGAGAGCATCTTTGACTACAGGAAAGAGCCAGTAATCAGAATCAGAATCCCTCCCGCCGCAGACCATCTCAAAGACACTATGTCGCTCCTTAAACAAACAGGTCTGTCAGCGACATGAGGCTTGGCGTAGAGCGGAGTGGAGTGGGCTGCGTGAGGGGTGACAGCCTCGTGTCGACAGGCCTAGAGTGCGTGCCCATTGTACCCTTTTCAACTGCAATTACAGGGTCTTTGTGTTGGCACGCAAGGAGGAGAGACATAGAATTAGTGGAATTGTTCCAATTTATTCAAAGCGGCAGAATCTGAAAGAATGTCTAAATGTAGTTTGACAGTTCCTTTCGTCTACCTCGGATTCCTTCTTTATGTCATCCTGTCTTTCATTCACCAGCTTTGTCTTTCGTGATGTCTTTTGACATTCGTTCTCTTCTCTGCTCTTGCTGTCCCCCCAGCACCACCCCACCCTCTCCTGTCTCTGTGCTTTGGTGCGTACCTGTAGCATGATGATAACCCATATTACTCTGACTCTCTGACAGGCACATGCAGGGTGCCTCCCTCCCCCCCCTCCCTCCCCAGGCCCCCGCCCCTCCAGTGGGGTACGTGTCCAGCACCCTGGTGTCTGACCTGGAGACTGACATCCCTGACGAGGATGAGGAGGAGGAGGAGGAGGAAGAGGAGGAGGATGACGGCTATGAGATGTCCAGGCCTCTCTATGGTATTGAGCACACGCCAGGGTCGAGCATGGACAACCTAGACAGCTCTGTAACAGGTGAGATACTGCACTGATACAATGACGTGGACAGAACAATGGAAATCTGGGTTATGACAGGCATCACTGTTTCCATTCAGAGAAAGGTATTGGAGCTTCTTTCCCCCTTTGTTAGGATTCAAATCTGTCTGATTTTATGCAGTTTCCTGCCACTCTCGGAGGAATGGTTTGGGTATATAAAGAAATAATCAGAAATTGCTCCCCAAAACAAAAATATTTTAAATACAAAAGCATGTTCAGTTGTCATTCCACAGTAATTTAAAAAAGATCACAGACCCCTTATCAGGTAACATATCACATTTAAAGGGCAATTCTGCGACTTTTCAACCTTGTATTCATCATCTCCAGCACCAAACCAGTGTCTACATATGCCCCTACCCAGTCATGTGAAATCCCTTGATTAGGGCCTAATTTATTTATTTCAATTGACTGATGTCTTTATATGAACTGTAACTCAGTAAAATTGTTGAAATTGTTACATGTTGCATTTATATTTTTGTTCAGTATAATAAATAAGTATTACAATTCTGTTTGCCTATAGTTACCGACTGCATTTTGACTTGATTTATAATGAATTATGAATTGTTGTATTTTATTCAACTCATGGCATTAGACTATTATTCCACAATGTGCTGTATATGTACTGTTGTTTATGACATCGCTGTATGTGTCTATATTGTGGTAATTTGCCCTTCACCTGATGAATGTATTGAATGTACCTGAAACCCAGTTTGTTCAAGTGGTTTTGGCAGACTGTGGAATTATAATTATCATACCCAAAAAGAGATAAGAAAGCCCATGAATTTTAAAAAGGACAGTGAGAGGGAAATTAAGAGGGAGAGCAAGGGGAGAGAGAGAGAGAGAGAGAGAGAGAGAGAGAGAGAGAGAGAGAGAGAGAGAGAGAGAGAGAGAGAGAGAGAGAGAGAGAGTGTGATTGATTGATTGATTTAGCTCACACACAGCGTCAGCGAGCGCCATATCCATAAGAGATTTAGAATACATTTCACGTACAGAATATTCCATTCCAGACTGGAGGCACCATTTCCATTTTACAACTCACTGAAAGCTTTTACAGCCGTCTGTCGGAGAGAGAGACATGTGAAGGGCATGACATTGGAGAAGGAGAGAGAGCACTGCTGTGTCCTACTGCGTCTCTCATACTAACTGAACAGGACATACTAGTCCTCTATACCGGACATGGCTGATACAAATCAAATCAAATCAAATGTTATTTGCCACATGCGCCGAATACAACAGGTGTAGACCTTACAGTGAAATGCTTACTTACAAGCACTTAACCAACAATGCAGTTTTAACAAAAATAAGTTTTACGTAACAAATAGATAAGTACATAAAAAAAATAAAAAAATTTTAAAGAGCAGCAGTAAAATAAAATATCAGTAGGGTGGCTATATACAGGGGGTACCGGTACAGAGTCAATGTGCGGGGGAACAGGTGAGTCGAGGCAATTGAGGTAATATGTACATGTGGGTAGAGTTAAAGTTACTATGCATAGATAATAAACAGAGAGTAACAGCAGCGTAAAAGAGGGGGTGGGGTGGGGGTACAATGCAAATAGTCCGGGTAGCCAAGATTAGCTGTTCAGGAATCTCTGCTACCGCACGGCGCTCTGGCTCCGCTTGCCGTGCGGTAGCAGAGAGAATAGTCTATGACTAGGGTGGCTGGAGTCAATTTTTAGGGCCTTCCTCTGACACCTCCTGGTATAGAGGTCCTGGATGGTAGGAAACTTGGCCCCAGTGATGTACTGGGCTGTACGCACTACCCACTGTAGTGCCTTGCGGTCGGAGGCTGAACAGTTGCCATACCAGGCGATGATGCAATAAGGATGCTCTCGATGGTGCATCTGTAGAACGTTTTGAGGATCTGAGGACCATGCCAAATCTTTTCAGTCTCCTGAGGGGAATAGGCTTTGTTGTGCCCTCTTCACGACTGTCCTGGTGTGTTGGGACATTGATAGCTTGTTGGTGATGTGGACACCAAGGAACTTGAAGCTCTCAACCTGTTCCACTACAGCTCGTCGATGAGAATGGGGGCGTGCTCAGTCCTCTTTTTTTTTTTCCTGTAGTCCACAATCATCTCCTTTGTCTTGATCACGTTGAGGGAGAGGTTGTTATCCTGGCACCACACGGCCAGGCCTCTGACCTCCTCCCTATAGGCTGTCTCATCGTTGTCGGTGATCAGGCCTACCACAGAATCCAGTTGCAGAACCCTGTTTAGTCCCAGGGTCCTTAGCTTAGTAATGAGCTTTGAGGGCACTATGGTGTTGAACGCTGAGCTGTAGTCAATGTATAGCATTCTCACGTAGGTGTTCCTCTTGTCCAGGTGGGAAAGGGCAGTGAGGAGTGCAATATAAATTGCATCATCTGTGGATCTGTTGGGGCGGTATGCAAATTGGAGTGGGTCCAGGGTTTCTGGGATAATGGTGTTGATATGAGCCATGACCAGCCTTTCAAAGCACTTCATGGCTACAGACGTGAGTGCTATGGGTCGGTGGTCATTTAGGCAGATTATTTTAGTAATTTTGGGCACAGGGACTATGGTGGTCTACTTGAATCATGTTGGTATTACACACTCAGTCAGAGACATGTTGAAAATGTCAGTGAAGACACTTGCCACTTGGTCAGCGAATGCTCGGAGTACACGTCATGTTAATCCGTCTGGCCCTGCGATCTTGTGAATGTTGACCTGCTTAAAAGTCTTACTCACATCGGCTACAGAGCGTGATCACATAGTCATCCGGAACAGCTGATGCTCTCATAAATGCTTCAGTGTTGCTTGCCTCGAAGCGAGCATAGAAGTGATTTAGCTCGTCTTGTAGCCTCGTGTCACTGTGCTTCCCCTTTGTAGTCTGTAATAGTTTGCAATCCATGCCACATCCGACGAGCGTCGGACCTGGTGTAGTACGATTTAATCTTAGTCCGGTATTGACTCTTTGCCTGTTTGATGGTTCGTCGGAGGGCATAGCGGATTTGTTATTAGCGTCCGGGTTAGAGTTCCGCTCCTTGAAAGCGGCAGCTCTACCCTTTAGCTCAGTGCGGAAGTTGCCTGGCTTCTGGTTGGGGTATGTACGTACGGTCACTGTGGGGACGACGTCATCGATGCACTTAGTGATGAAGCCAGTGACTGATGTGGTGTACTCCTCAATGCAATCGGAAGAATCCTGGAACATATTCCAGTCTGTGCTAGCAAAACAGTCCTGTAGCTTAGCATCCGCGTCATAAAATAAAAAACCACTTCCTTATTAACCGAGTCACTGGTGCTTCCTGCAATAGTTTTTGCTTATAAGCAGGAATCAGGATGATGCTACAGACAGGATGGAAAAAGTTATACAGCTGCACCATTGAAAGCATCCTGACTGGTTGCATCACTGCCTTGTATGGCAGCTGCTCGGCCTCCTACCGCAAGGCACTACAGAGGGTAGTGCGTACGGCCCAGTACATCACTGGGGCCAAGTTTCCTGCCTTCCAGGACCTCTATACCAGGCGGTGTCAGAGGAAGGCCCTAAAAATTATCAAAGACTCCAGCCACCCTAGTCATACACTGTTCTCTCTGCTACCACACAGCAAGCGGTACCGGTGCGCCAAGTCTAGGTCCAAAAGGCTTCTTAACAGCTTCTACCCCCAAGCCATAAGACTCCTGAACAGCTAATCATGGCTACCCGGACTATTTGCGTTGTCCCCCCAACCCACCCCACCCCCTCTTTTACACCGCTGTTACTCTGTTCATTATCTATGCATAGTCACTTTAACTCTACCCACATGTACATATTACCTCAATTATCTCGACTAACCAGTGCCCCCGCACATTGACTCTGTACCGGTACCCCCTGTATATAGCCTCCCTACTGTAATTGTTTGTTATTTTTTTTTTATTCTATTTTTGAATTAACTTACTTTCTTAAAACTGCATTGTTGGTTAAGGGCTTGTAAGTAAGCATTTCACTGTAAGGTCTACACCTGTTGTATTCAGCACATGTGGCAAATAAGATTTGATTTGATTTGATTTTGAGCATCAGCTCTGTGTTTTATGAGTGGGGAGGGATAGAACGAAGAGGTGAAGGGAAAAGGGGAAACAGTATATGTATAGAAGGAGGAAGAGAGAGAGACAAAGAGAGAGGGAGGAAGATACATATCTAGAGAGAGAAAGAGATAGGGGGAGGAAGAGATATACTGTATCTATAGAAAGAGGGACAGGGAGAGAGGGAGGGAGGGTTGACACGGCTGCTTGGCTGGCCTGTCGACTGTAGCTCTAGAGTGTCGTTTTTCTTTGGGATGATGGAACAGGGGCTGTGGCGGCTTTGACACATGCTGCTGTTGATATAGTTAGAGGAATATAAAGCTGCGACTGGGCCCTAATCTGCTACATCTCTCCTGCACTGTATTACTCTGAAGACAGCACTATTTCTTCTTATCTCTCCACAAGTCTCCCCCGCTCCCCACCATTTGACAGCAGAGACACGGTCCCAGCTCCAGAGTTAGCGGGAGGGGCAGAGAGAGGAAGGAGGAGGAAGGTGGAAAACGCTGAGATTTATCGCGGCCATCATTTTGAGGCTGTGGAAAGAGGAGGGCAGGAACAGCTTCCTGTAGAGCCCAAAATGATAGATTTGTCATTGTTTTAATAATATGGAAATAGGTCTGTTTCCTTAATGTTACACCAAAGGCCACTAAATCATACATTCTCACCGCTGGCCATTAAATTATTTTTCACTAGAGAGATTGTCTGTGTGTGCTTGTCTTTGTATTATTTCATGCACAGTGTAAAACAGCATATTTTTCTAAAGATAAAGGTGAATCCACCTGCGGCAGTATTGAATGCCCATGGCTAGGCTGAGATGAAAACACTGAGGTATTGTATCTCAGGGTTACTGATGCTGCAGTATAACATCCACAGTGATCTCAGAGTTGTGTCTCTCTGGGTCATTATTCTCCCATCAACCCCCTGGCAGGGAGGACTGAGGGGAGTGGGGTCATGTCTCCTGTCGGCAGGTGGAACGATA